TAACTAATGCCAGTTTTTCCATTTAATAATAAATGCTAATATGAATAATTTGCTAAGGCATCATTTTAAAAGTCAACCTTTATGATCAACTTAATACTGTTTGTGTGCACTGAATAATGCAGTCATTTCTGCTATTCCCAAACATTTACATATACCTAAAATACCAATCACTGGTAAAAGGGTACTGAAACTTTCTACAAGATTAGATTTTTTAATTTGATAAGCTCAAGAAATGAAATTCCACACAAATGATATTGTAGAGGCAAAAGTTTATAACAAACAAACCATGTATAACAATAACATTTATAAGGCACCGATATAAGCAGTTTATGGATTAAAACATATTACACAGTAAGCAGCCAACCCTGAACTCCAAACTGACATAAATTTAATTAATAATGTACAGTTAAGGTTATTAACATTTTTTGTCTAATTTCATTGTGTAAGTTTCTTATATTTTTACAGCAGGAAAATACTGAAGTCTGTCTGAAAAAGAACTTTTAATTAATCTAAGTATATACAATAAAAAGAAGCTTAAAAAATAATGCCCATAGTATTATGTGGAAAAATTTAGCCATGTAAAACAAAATTAAATACAAAAATTAACTGATTAAACACTTTTCGAATCCTCACAAAAATTTCTACCAACGCCTACAGTAATAAGACAATTCAGATCAAATAAAAATCAGTAAGAAGCATTGCGCTGATAATCCCTTGTGGTGTCTTTGTTCTGAAGAGTTGAGCCATTTAATTCACAGTAGTTGTCTTTTGATTATTTATTGTTAACAGTAACAAACATGATTAAAACAAATATGAAATATCATACATGGCACAGTGCCGGATCTATACATCTTCCCTTATCATCATTTCGTTCTGTTTCAACTGTATTTTCCCCCCGCCGTGGGAAAAGCGAACATCAGTCTATTCCTTCAGGGAATTTTAGTTAGAACATTCCTAAAGGAATAGAATTTGTACAAGTTAAGTTTCATGAATACCTGACAGGTATTTTCCACAGAAAAAACTAAAATTTAAAAGCCGGGAAATTCAGCGCTCTACCAGAAGATAAGATGAACTACGACACTGGTATTCAAAGTATGGGTCGTGACACCATTCAGACTCTCGAAAATTTACAGTTGGGTTGCAAAGTGGATAGAAATCCTAAAATGTACGTAATTAATGGTCAATGCTCTGACTGGAATATTAAAAAAAAAAAAAAAAACTTTTTGGTGGGGGTAGGGGTGCCGTTTGCATTTTTATAAGGTTGCATTGCCATAAAGTTTTGAATACTTATGATCTGCTAGATGACCAGGAAAATCTCCCAGTAAAATCAGGCAATTTGACAGCTTTGTAACAGCATGGAAAAAAACTGTCCATCATATACAATTAAATATTTTTCTTTCTAGTCTCCTGATTTTAAACTGAGCAAAAGTTTGAATTTGCACATATCAAAGGACACTAACTTCCATTACAAGAAATAAGAAATAATGTACTTTATTCTTTTATCAATTTAAAAAATGAAAATTTAAACACTTACCTTTAGTGTGAACTCCTAACCTATAAGAGCCAAATGTGTATATTTTCCCACCAACAGTTTCAGCTACATTTGGTGGCATGTTCTGAAAATAAATGTTTAACATTACTACATTTCCTTTTAGAAATAACAAAAGATAATTTTAAAAATGCTCCATACCTTTTTTACGCTTATGTCCCGTATCCATAGCTTGACCAATTCATTTATTTTACTAAGAACTTCCATTCTATAAAAATTTGCAGATATTAAAACCAAATTACACATACACTGTTTTTTTAAACAAAACTTGCTCTGAATGCAAAATTATATAAAATGTGGGCAATACAATTACATCACTGAAACTAATACAAAAATCTGCAGTAATGGCATCACACATTACCTATGAGCCAATTCTTCATCAGATTCAAAAAGACCATATTGCCTCAGCACTTCTTCCAGTTCCTTGGTTTTCTGGATATCTTCCGGCCTGGGCATGGCAGTACTAATAGGAGAAGTGACACCAAGCATCTTGGTTGTGGCTTGATTGCTAGTATTATTTACAGCATTACTACCCATCTTCATGTTTTGGAAAAATGCACTAGAAAGTTTAAAAGCACATATTTCAATAAAGTTTGCATCATCAAATGAACTTTTCAAACATAACAGCCTAAAACGTTCCTGACAAAAACCCAAAGAACTCCCACACTTCAGATACCCACAGAGAAGAGTGCATATAAATACATGATACAGTCTGAAATCCAAACACTGATCTAAAATCTGCAAACTTTTCATTTAAAAAAAAAAAAATCGCTAATCTTTGGAATATGGTAACAGGTAGCTTGGCGACATTTTGGAGGGCTAAGCAAAGGTTATACTAGGACTTGGGAATAATTGAGAATACTCAGTCCGATTACGCTTATTTGGTGAGGGAAATGAGAGATCATGAGATATCATGACATAATGGACGAATACAGTTCTTTAATCAGAAAAGGGGGGAAATCTGAAAAAATCTGAAATTTTGTATTAGCTCATCGTGTGGAAACAGTGTTGGTTAATTTTAGGATCCATGGCGTATCTAGTGCTCGAATGGTATTTATGGGATGAAGGGATAGTAAAAGAGTTTTCTAAGGTTGTGCGAGATAGAAGTAAAGATTGCTTATAGTTTTATTAAACATTTCTACCTGGTACAATAATCATTTGATTGCTGGAAATCATATGCATTTGGAAGTGAAGGTTTTCAACATCTTGCTGGAACATAAGATCATTTAAGATCTGAAAACAGGGCACATACGAACACTAGAGGGCACTGGTGCTAAAAAAGCAGCATTCGAAGCTTATGCTAAAGAGAATTGCTTTTTATTTAGCAGAGGAGAAGTATGGAAAAAAATTGCAAAACATTCACATAATTTAATTGAATAGATAGAAAGCTTATCCGCACGAATCAAGATTCTGAAGAAGATAGTAAGTTAGATTCTTATTATTTGAGGATATTATTTTATGCCATTTTCTAACTGTCAGGATAATAAATCATAGGGATTATTGAAAATTGTTAGGGCAAAGAGTTGTTTCACGTAATTAGATTTCCGCTCTTTATACTTTTCTGCCTGTGCGTATTTCTATTTTAAGTAGTTTTTTTTAATTAATTATATTTTACTTAAATTATTTTTTTAGCGAATGATCTGTTGGACGAATTGGTATACCTTTCGAAGTAAAGTGTGTGCAATATTAGTATTGACATATTTGCAACCATTTTTATGTAGCGTATGAATTGTTGGCGCGTTATATAATAATTTAGAGGTAAAGTTTGGATATTTATTTATTTTAGTGCAAATGTCATCCTGGAAGGGTATATACTTTTCGCGATCAGGTAAATTATTAGGCCTTTTCCAGATTTAAATTCCAAAATTTGCGTCATTTCGTGAATTTTTCTAATTTATGAGAAAAAAGCATGTACATGGAATAGTGCGAGTTGCGCAATGCATTTTTATGCCCTTTAGATTTTTTTTAAGTAAAACTAAGTCGAGTGTAATGGTTTAGTGATATTTTAATTAAATGATAGTATTTCGTGATTTATGTTTGTAAATTTGGTATAGTTTCAATTTTAAACCATGGAAATAATTTACTATTGACACTAATATTTGTAACCCTTAATGTTTGTGGTAAATTCGTTGGTGACTTTTATATATATAGATATTTAGAGGTCAAGTTTTGGATATTTTATTTTTTTATACATGGAACTGTTCATCCTTGGAAGGGTTATCGTTTTCGCTATAGTAATTTTCATATATGGCTTTTTAACGAGTTAAAGATTCACAAAAGTTTCTGCATTTCGTGCAATTTTTGCAATTTTGAGAAAATAGTGTAGATGATAAAGTTAAGAGTGTGTGCAATGCCATTTTGTGGATTCGGGATTTTTTTTTTTTTAAGAATAAGTCATGTGTACATGTTATGTGTATGTGCGATTCGAAAACCGGCAAGGAGTTTGCGATTCTGCCTTTTCCCAATTACAGTAATATTTGTCCATGATTAAGTGTTTATCCATAACTTTCTAGCTAAGTGTAATTCGGATGAGAGTTGGAAAAAGTGTTCAGTAAATAAAAAGAACATGTCTTTACTTATGAACACAAAATGGCGGCGAAAAAAAAAATAGAGGGTTGCTGTAGCAGAGTTGGTCGCCAAATTTTCGCCAAAAAATTGCCAAGTTACCATAATCCAAAGATTAACCAAAAACATTTTGTATGCTATTTATGCATGCCTTTTGATATTTTTTCATAATAAAAGTGGAGAGTTCAGATTCTCAATTTCACTTTGGCACTAAAAAAATACCTCAATAGTGAAGAAACAATTTATTAGCCTAGATCTGTATAATCAATAATTTGGCTCTGTAGCTATCTTTCTGCTTGGTATCTATCTCAAACCAAAACATTCAATATTGAAACATCCCTGATTTTACATTTACAGAATAATTTATGTCCCTGACATCAAGTTGGCAAATATTCATATAAAAATATATATATATTTTTCTTTCATCACCACATAGCAACTTGAGGAAAGACTCATGCAGGGATGTCTAAAAATTTATTTCTTTCTTTTTAATGTATTAGTAACTGAATACCAAAGAGCAGGGTAACCCCTTTTATGCTGGCATCACGCTTGGTGATGATTACAGACTTCAGCTAACTGCACTGCCCAATGCTATGTATTAACAAGAAATTAACAAAAATTTATTTCCATATGTAACAAATTAATTTCGTAAATGACAACTCAAAGCAAAAGATTACATTAAGAGCAATCTGAATTGGGAATTATCAATTACTTATTCAGATAAGTATAGGACCAGTGGTAGAATTTAAGAAAAGCAAAATTTTTAGACCTTAGAGAAGCACTCAGCATCAAAATCAAGGGATGGCAAAATCTTTAGAATTCAGGAAAGGTACTGGGAAGAAAAATCTTGAGGTGAGAATTTTTTTTTTTAAATTTAGGAAGGCACCAAGCAGCAGAATTTAGGACACACAGACTACACTGAGCCACAAAATGCTTAGCACCAGTCGTGGATAAGCCTTAACCCTCCGCATACCACCTTCCCCCTCGCAATTTCTGCAAGATACAAAATCCATCTTGTAATACTTGAGAATAGCACGTGCATGTTTATTTCTCTTTATTTTCAATATGGATCCTGCTTTTTTTCCATATGGCTGAGAATATTGTAATATTTACAGTTTGTTTTGCACCTAATGGTGCTACCGATTTATATCATTATAAGGAAGTACTATTGTTTCTTCACAGCCGAACATGATTAATGCTGTTGCTTCTTTCATTGTGGAATGGTAAGAAAATAGTAAATATGCTGAGTTCTTTTCATGATGCATTATTTGGAGGAGATTATACTCCATATTGAAGGTAATTTTCTTATACCAAACTGACACATCTGGTTTATTCATTTTATACATATGCTAATTTCTATGACCCCATAATTGTCTGGTAATTTCTTTTCATGTTATTTTATAACTTACTACATGTTGTATACTGTGGGTCAGTTTCATTAAATTCTACACATAGCTTTTTGAGTAATCATTACTTTTGTGATTTTTTCCTTTAAAAAATTAAGATAGACAAATTAAGATTAACAGAAGATTTTCATTGTTATGATAATGCCCTGAACATACGACAACTAACATGTACAAAATACGTAGCATGGTTCTAAAATATGTAGCATAATAAATATATAATAAATATGTAGCATGGTTCTAAATCCTGAAAATAAAGCAGACGTTAAAGAAGAAAGTGACAAAGAGGCTGCTGAGAAGGGAAAAATTTCGATTAACAATTCAGTGGAAATCATCTTGGTGATCAAAAGGTAAGAAGAATGAAACTGTAACTGAACAAGATTAAAATTAAAGACAAAGTATTACCACAAAAAACAAAGCAACTTAGATTTAATCAAATGTTTAATAAAGCAAACAATATTCAGCATATTTGCATATTGAGCTTTTTCTTGTAAATTTTATTCCCTTTAAGTCATAACTGCTTCATTATTTCCTAAACCACTATTTCATATTTTTAATTTTATAGTTTTTACATATGTCATCTTGCTAGATTTAAACTGATAATCTAATACTGTAAAAATCTGAAATGCTGAAATTCCGATGAGTCCAGATCTGCATAAGAAAATTATTCTACTAGCTTCAATTTATACAGAACATCTTATTTCAAAATTTTTCTCATTTAATATGTTTCAAAAGAAGAATATATCCCCATACCCCTTTGGACATTTCCTAACATTTTACTCTCATGACTCAACATGATATATAATTTATATCATGTTAATAATTGGTCAATATACTCAGTTACGATATACAAGGTGTGGCAATTTCCAGCACTGCTCTAATAACATCAGAACAGATTACGTGAAAAACGTAACCTTTTAATATGTTTCGAAGTAATCCCCATCTGCCGTAATACACTTCTGTCTCAGCTGTATAAGTTGCGAAAACAACTTTTAAAGTTCTCGTTCGGAAGGCTCTTCAAAGACAATGTCACGTTCTTGATGTCTTCAACATCCACAAAGCGTGTTCCTTTAATCACAGTTTTGGGTTTCGGAAACAAAAAGAAGTCTGCGGGGGCTAAGTCATGCCAGGAGCAGATGACTGCAACTCCACGACCTCATGCTTTGCCAAAAACTTCTTCACTGGTAACACAATGTTGTTATGCAACGGCGTTGGGAGTTGTTATGCAATGTGACGTCGACACTGAAGTGCCTTCCGAAAGAGGACTTTAAAAGTTGTTTCCGCAACTTATACAGCCGAGCACAGAAGTGTATTACGGCACATGGGGATTACTCCGAAACATATTAAAATGTTACGTTTTTCACATCATCTGTTCTGGTGTTATTAGAGCAGTCCTGGAAATTAATAGAAACACCTTGTATAATGATCTAAATGCACATAGTTGCTCTCAAAAAAGGGGTAGACTGAGTAACCAGAATACATTACTGCAATAATGTACTATATTACTTGCATATTAATATTACTCCACCCTTTTTTTACGAATTCTGGATTTACTTCTGTGAAGAACCTGTTGGTGATAGTGCCTTTTTAA